CCCCAAAACCCCAAAACCCCAAAACCCCTGAACTAAAATATTTTATTGAATTCTATAGTTTGGGTTATAGATTTTTTATGTTCAAAATAAGTGCTTATCTCCTCTCTCTGTCATGATAAGACCTTTTGTGACCAGAATAATGGTGTTTATGAGACCTGTTGTCTCTGTGGTGCCCTCTTGAATTTCTATGGTCATCTCTGCGATCACGGTAGTCTCTTCTATCATCCCTTCTGTCATCTCTTCTATAATCTCTATTGTTATCTCTGTCTCTATAGTTTCTGCTAGAGCTAAATTGTTGATTCTGTTTCTCAGCCAAGAGCTTTTCCTTCCATTCTACTCTGACTCCATGCTCATGAGCATCTCCTTCAATCTTTGGTAATTCAGATTTTTGTCAAGGTAATGGCTCTGTAGTGAAATAAGGATGCTCCAAGCATTCATCCACAGTTAATCTGTGGTCAGGATTCAACGTCAGCATTCCAAGCATTAAGTCGATTCCTTGATCATCGAGAGTTTTTGAATAAGTAGGAAGCTTTTTAAAGAACTTCTCTCTTTGATCTGGTGATGGAGAAAGATCAAGTTCTGAGAAAGCATGAAGATATGCTAAACTAGGCCAACTTTCCAGAGTAGGGACACCTCATAATTTAAAAATAAGATCAATCTGCTTTGCTTCAACGCTTCCTGGGAACAAGGGTTTTCCAATAAACAACTCTGCCATAAAGCATCCGACGCTCCAGATGTCTAGTGATTTATTATAATTGTGGCTTCCAAGTAAAAGTTCTGGGGCTCTATACCACAATGTGACTACTTTGTTAGTGTACATTTTTCTGAATTTATCATATTGCTTTGCAAGCCCGAAATCAGCCACTTTGAGTGTCCCCTCCCCATCCAGCAAGATGTTGGCACCCTTAATATCCCTGTGCATGACATCATTATCATGAAGATACTTTACTCCTGTCAAAAGTTGTTGCATAAGTCACTTAATATTGGCTGAAGTGAATTCTACCTTTTTGCTAATAAGCCCGTTGATATCATAGTCCATATACTCAAAGACGAGATAGACATCAGCCCGCTTATCGCGGTTGTCTCCCTCTTGCTTGCTATAACAGAGTGAGAAATGTCCAGATTTTATTGTAAAACTTACGATACCACAACATCATGAAGGTTCACGATGTTTTCATGGTTGAGCTTCTTAAGGAACTGGATCTCTCGAAGAGAAGTGATCGGGAATCCCTATGTAAAATAAAAGGGTTTCCTTACTTCATCTGATTTGGTAGCAATTAGCTTATTTTAAAGCAAAATAACTAAAGATATTAGAAAATGTCAGAAAGTGGGTTTAGAAGTCAGAGGAGGATCAAAAGAAGTAATTTTAGGAGTTTAGAAATAGGGGTTATGTGTAGGAGATAAAGTTTGTATTTAATTTTTAATAGGGTTTGTTCATTTTGACAAAAGTCAAGAAAGTAGTCTGAAAATATATTCTTGAGGAAATATTAAATTTCCCTCAAAAATCGGAAGGATTAGGAATTTAAGAATAAATTTTTTATTTCTCTTCCTTCCAAAAATATTAGAAACATATTATATCTCTCTAAATAAGTCAGAGAGTATTGATAGCCATACGATTTTTCTTCTTCCTCAGAAGTACAATATTCTGGCTTAAGTCTGGCTTTGTACACATCTCTAAAAATTATCTCCAAATCTACCCATAAGCTCCTTTGCCAACTTGTTTAATCTGTTCGTATCTATGATCAAACCTTCAGTTCCAACTTTTCAACGGGACTCTATTCATTGCTATTCCTTTAGGCTTTGCTTCTGTAGCAAGCTTGGAGACAGTGGTTGTCATATCTTTTTCCATATTTTCCAATTATTTATAAGCCTTATGGGGTTTTGGGGTTTTGGGGTTTTGGGGTTTTGGGG